ATGGAAATTCAAATTTTCATATCATTCCTTACCCTAACTAGATAAATACTAATTTGTTTTTAAAAAGATGGCGGGGGTGTTTTTCTCAATTCTCACACTTTTGTATTAGTGGTGGGGGCTTTGTACAAAAGATCCCACAGAAATAATAATATACAACGGACAAAGGTAGACGTAAGTTTTCTCAAACTTTTTGAAATCGCATACACAAATGAGAGTTTTGAGTAATTTTCTTTCGACTGTCTGTAATATCGACAGCGACCTGGTAATAAATAGTTTATAAACGTGGACCATAGGTTCTCAAAGTGCTCCATACGTTTTACATATGAAGATACTGACTTGGCTAATTTTGTAACTTTTAAAAGAAGCAATAACGGCAATAATAAATATTGACAGCGGTAAATACATCCAAGCCAATGAATAAAGTAATTTCAATTTACTCATGAACATTAATCGGTAAGTAACAATGTGTTTTTTTTGTTTTATTTTTGTAAATCATTGTGGGCTCCGTAACTAAAAGTCTACCTCCTCAGGGGCTCCATAACAACGAAAGATTGAGAAAGCCCGACGTAGGCAGCAATGTATTCAACGACCGATGCCAAAACCTTTGATATTGCAAATGTTTACAGATTTTTTTCACCCAAATACAACAAATCTGGCGCGAAAAGATGCTTCAGAGGCTCTTGCAAGCAATCGCTGTTAAAAATCTCTCAAATTTTATCAAAAAAACCAATGCTCATTACTGACACTTTGCGGATGAGATTGATACCATTTATACTGGAGTGTTTTCGGAGTTTTATTAATATTGGACCCATAACGTGTTTTTCAACTCCCGAAAGGTCAATTTTTTTTTGCGGAGTAAGAGTCGAAATGCTTTTTGATCTAAACCGAAAATTTTGTACCTCCGTTCGCAGTCACACTTGTTTGTATTCGTGTGTGTGGCAACGTAATGGATCAGCAGACCACTCTTATTTAACAACTAGGCTATTATCGACTCATTTCCACCTAAACACACAGTATAAAACTAAGTGTCGCACAAATAACTGATGTAAACAGATAAGACTTCGTGAAGGATACTCCCGAAGTATGTGAACCAAGATGGCGGACCCCGGAACGTAGTATGTGTACCAGGTTGGAGTTAGGACATAATCTTATTTCATTTTTAGTTCTAACACGAGTTCGGGGAACAGCCAAGTGACTCCAGTAGTATTTGTACCTGAAATTACGGCCTAAACCTAACCTGGTATACATACTACGTTCCCGTGTCCGTCATCTTGGTTCACATACTTCGGGAATACCTCGTGAAGCACAAAGAGATCTAAGTAATAATAATACATTAGTAATTTAAACACCACGTTTAATGGAAGAATAACAAGGGACTAGTTAAATAAATTAAAAGGCACAACGCATTTGCAAAAAATGTAATGTTGCCAAATATTATCACAGCGAGTATATTTTCACGGAATCCACAGTTTTGTGCGCTTTTTTCTGCAGTAGACATAGGTACTGAGTTCTGAATAATTACGTTGATTAACATAGATTTCCCATCATTTCACCGATGTATGAGAGTCTTTGCTTGCCTGCGCTCTTGACTTCTCTTGCCAGCATGATGCTCAAAAATGTAATCTTCAATGTAGTCAGGTATTATATAATGCGAATAAATTAAAATGAAACATAACACCTTGACTCGAACTGCAGTTTGAGCGTATTTTTCCATCAAAACCACACAAGCCGTAGACCTATCTTTCTAAAATTTCTTAGAGTAAGATCACGCGAACCCACTCAGAATAAAAAAGTATCTGCCTCAGAAATATTATTCATACCAACCTGTGCGTATTTTATCGGTACTCTCGTAGTATGTGCACCCGGTTAGAGTTAGTCCAAATTTTATTCCGAGTTTTCTTATTTTAGTTCTATTACGAGTTCGGGGATGTTCTGTGTTAACCAAGTGAATATACCCCCTTCCCACAGGTTTCAGTCTCTTTACACAACTTGATGTAAAGTCGAACAAAATTAGATACCACCCCATCGGTACACACTTTTCTGAAATGCCCGTAATTTACCAGTACTTTGCTGCTTGTGGTCACGATGTGGGCACTAAATTACCGCGGTACCCGGTACAAATTAGACTAAATATGACGTCTGGTAATCATTAATACTAATTTCTAATACTGGCATTAACTAATTCACCTCGTAAGGTAAGAGTAATAACAGGTAACGTATTAGGTATGTGTTTGCCATCTCACCTCTAAGTTTCGCGCGCTGATTACGCACACCGCGAAAAATAATTATATGCGAGGATGGCTAAACTTCTCCTTGCCATCATAGGGGTGGTTCACGTAACCGCTGATCAGTTACGGCTTCCCCCACCATTAAGTCTATGCATCGTACGCAAATAACCTGTTAACTAATTCCATACACGACATGGGCTGATAACTAGACCGGAAGAGGTCTTATAGCTTTGTTCTCCCCGGGATAAATACAAAAATTTTATTCTAAAGTCGCGGATGTAGCTATTTTTGGGATTCAACTCTAATCGTAGACTATTTTTCTATAGTTGACTAGATAGACCAGTGGTTTTGAAACTTACAAGCCGGACCCCATTTTTATAAATTTTCAAGTCTCGCGCCCCACCTCAAAATAACTAGCTAACAAAAAGCTACAAAATAGTATGGTGAAATTACGTGAATGGAACAAAAATATCCAAAATAAAGAATTGTAAATATCCAAAATAAGATCAAATCTGAAACATATTTATATTATTAATTAACTTCACGCCGGCTCAAAAATTGTCTACGCATCACTTGGGGGGCACGCCCCACCGTTTGAGAACCTACTACAGTAGTACTGTATCGGGGGTCTCGTGTAGTTTCGTACCTAACGTACTTCTAGTCGGCGTAGCATGACAATTTATTGATATGTCAATCCTAACCCGCATCTGATTACGCCATCCAAAAATTAAATCATTACGACATCACAATCACGTCATAGAGCTTGCCAAATATACGCACGATCGACCGAAATGACATTGACGCCGAACTGACTAACGTTATCGGTCTCTCTCCTATTGGGATCGTTGCGACGAGAAAATGAAAGAAATAACTGTTCGATTTCGGGTGCTCGTTTGCGCGTCTTGGATGGCAGTTCGTATAGTTTGAAGGGCTCTATTACGTCACTGTGACGTCGTAATGACGTAATTTTTGAATGGTATAGTCAGGGTGGGGTTAGGATTGATACGTGAAAAAATTGTCATTCTACGCCCACTAGAAGTATGTTAGGTAAGAAACTACATGAGACCCCTACAGTAGTATGGTACTGTATCGGTACTAACTTAACACGGCAAATAAGCGCGGCGCAGTCACCATATTCAGCGAAATATTAAATAAAATCTAACTCACTTGAAACTCAATGTACGTTTTCACGACCTGTTACTTTTCATATCTGCAGGTGGACGAAGTAATCAAAAATATATCCAACCAAATACATCCAACAAGGCGCGGCGGTGTGGCTCAACGGGCTAAGCGTTAGGAATACGCTCGCTACCGCACCTCTAATCACTCTGCATTGGTTCGCAGGTTCGAATCCCATGCAGGGATGGTTATGTGCGAGAGGATTGCTGGACTCCTCGCCGTCGTTGGGTGATTCACGTAACCGCTGGTCGGTTACGGCTTCCTCCACCACCAAGTCCATGCTTCCGAAAACAAAACAATATAACTAATCCCATACCCGACTTGGAATGGTAACCGGACGAGAGGCCGTGGTTCGCCATATGGGTAAGCCGTCTTATCGGCTTTCTTCTCCCCCGGGATAAATATGTGAATCCTATCCTATCCTATCCTTACTAACTACCGACACAGAGAAGTGGTGGCTGCCGTCTGACTGGGTTGAGTAAAAAATATGGATGCCATATTACACATGAGTTTTGAACATATATTCAAGATAAAATTAACACAGTTTGTTATTTTTAGAAATATGTTACACCCAATAGAAAATTGAAAGTTTTAAAATCAGATATATTTTTATATGTGGGTTACTTCTTAAAATAATATCGATTAACTGATGCAAAATAAATTACTCCATTCAATCTGGCAACACACAAAATATTATCGAAAGTCCTCATTGTGACACATTTGATTATGACGTAATAGTTATAATATGTATAATAGATATAATGCCACTAGCAGACAGTAGAGATATTCAAATGATTCAGGTCGTATTGCGTAATTTTCTAATTAGCCTACAACACTGGAAATATCTTAATATATTCTTGAATTTGGGTACTACAGTATATTAGTGGTTAGATTGTTTGGCTTAATGTTTTTGACGGTGCAGGTTGAATAAATTTGGCCCAAACCACATGACACCACATAACCCAGTGTGTGTGTGTGTGTGTGTTCTCCCCAGTGTGCGTCCCTTCCATTTCGCGTGTGGGGACGGGGTCCAAATTTAGGGTAGATATTTTGCTATTGGCGATAAAGCAATTTATATTTAATATTTTTCTTATTTATACTTGTATTTGAATGGCCTTCTGCAATGGTATATTGGTCACTTAATAGAAATTCAAACACAGTTAGAAATTAAACTTATTGAAAAACGGTGTGGCGGTGTCACACCTTGAAATAAGGGAGGGCGGGGGAAATTTTAAAGAGCTAGTGTGTGAGGTCATCAAAGCCAGTGTTTAATGAAACGGCTGCCGCATGTGCGTTTAAATTTATTCCGACTTTACCATCAGCAATACAGGCGACAAAATAATTGACAAGACTAATTGCAAAATCATAGGAGAAAACAAAAACTGAAACAAATGTTTGATATTCAGAAAAATAAAAGGAAAGTGTTAGCAGTAAGAGTGTTTTACGTCCATTATATACGTTTTCATGCCTTTCTCTCAAAACAAGACTCTGTAAGGCAAGGCAGGTAATTTCTATATAAGAAACAATTATTTTTGAAAACAAAAAATTCTCCTTTTCGGCATTGCCTACACAATTTAATACATTCTGGATTTAAACCTGAAATATTGCTAAAGCAGGGGTGTTCAACCTGCGGCCCCCGGTCCGAATGCGGTCAAAAAAAAAATTGTGCGGCCCGCGGGCGAGTGCAAATTTTGAACTGTATGCGACCCGCGAAACGAGTTTTCAATTTTGCGAATAATTTCAATCCCTTAGCGCTGCAAAGCTTCCAATTTATTATCTACCCCTAGAAACTAGCTTTTGCTTGCAACTACTAAGAAGCCTATGTTAAAAAAAGGCGCAGCCAGCGGTTTAATTCACGCATATATAAGGTGATAATAAAACAAAAATGATAATTAGATCGAAGAACTTTGACAAAAAGTAAAATATCGTACTGGCGTTTTACAATTTCTTGAATTTGAGTAGTTTTCTATCAATTGAACGAAAGAAAGCCCTCTGTCAAGTGTCGAATAAGTTAATGATAGATAAAATGTTATATGCCACTAAATTAATATATGCAATGTACAAAAACAAAATCATGACATATTTCAAACTTTTGCCTGGTACACAAAACACTGCACAACAATAGCGAACCAGATAACCATTATGCCAACCTTCCATACCGGAGCCTTCAAAAAGCGAATTACTAACTGTTTTATAACTGGTGATATAAAGTTTAGTACTGTTACAATGCAAATGGCATTCATCCAAAGAATTAGATCAAAGTTAATATATTTGGCAATGTCTTCCATGTCTCCTTTCAATATTTCAATGATAGAAATAAAGGGCAATATAAAGAAACCTAAAACTTTGGAAGGTTTTCTTAATTCCATAACGTTAAAATCAGGTAGAGAAACCACGCATATCACCCAACTTATCACACAAACGATATAAACTTTTAAAAATTCCAGCTTCGTATGTCTTCCATGGATGGTTTCATTTTTCTGTTTGTAAAATTAAAAATTACACCGCTAAAATCATCTTCACAAGATTTTTACTCTCTATACCGCTTTTAAAAGGTTGTCAAGTGGGTGCCCCCGTAGTATGTGTACCAAGATGGCACACAATCGGAATATAGTATGTGTACCAGGTTAGGTCTATCATGTTGTGCGCCATCTTGGTGCACGTACTACGGGAGCGCAGGCAAGTGGAGTATTTGGCGGTCATGTTTACAACACGGCGTAAGTACTCCTGGTAGGCGTGGCACAGCCATTTTTGCATGTGTTATTTCTAACCCCCGTCTGACTACGCATTTCAAAAAATACGTCAATACGACGTCACAGTAACGTATTAGGGCCCTCCAGATGATGCTAACCGTCATCTAAGACGCACAGACGATCGAGCAATCTATATCTCTTTTTTTCGTCGCAACGATCCCAATACGAGAGGTATCGCTCCCGTTGGTTGAGTGCGTTATCGTTTGCGAAGATACGATTCCTGGCGATCGTAGCTATATTTTGGCAATCTCTTTGACGTTATTATTAGGTCCTAGTGACGTAATGTTTGGATGACGAGAAAAGTGGGGTTTAGGAATAACATATGCAAAAATGGTTGTGCCGCTACCAAATAGAAGTGCCCACGTCGTTAAGTGAACGTATCCGTATCCGGAATATTGGAAAAGGAAGGTCTTTTATCAAATTTAAAAGTAAATGCGGGAAGTCAATCGCTACAGTACAAAAAGTTAGTAAACAAGATAGTAATGCTCAAATATATGGACACGAAAACCAAACGAAGTAGTATCAAATCTATAACGCTCCCGAAGTAATTGAACCAAGATGGCGGACACCTAAACGTAGTGTGTGTACCAGGTTAGGCTTGGGCCATAATTTATTCCAATTTTCCTTATTTCAGTTCTATTACGAGTTTGAGCACTAGCCAAGTGACACCCGTAGTATTTGTACCTGAAATTATGGCCTAACCCTAACCTGGTAAACATACTACGTTCCGGTGTCCGCCATCTTGGTTCACATACTTCGGGAGTGCCAAAAAGAAATTTCCGATATTGCTGACCACCAGATCGCTGAACTACCACACGCTGCGCAATTCTTAATTTGGATGACTCATCATACAAACTCAAAAAACGAATCCCATGGAGCCCACAGAAATTTTGGAATAAAATAAAAGTAATAGCGCCTCTAGCGGCAACAAAAGTCTCTAATCACTGAAAATTTCAAAGCAATTGGTTCAGTAGTTAGGAAAACGATCTTTTTACAATAACATCGACAACAATTAACAAAATTTATCCATAGTCGTATCCAAGAAGCTGTAGATACCTGTACTTCCGGTACCGAGACTTCCGCCTCAAGTAAACGAATAATTGTCAAATTGGTTCGAATAAGATTCCGATTAGCGGCTGTTATGGCGGGATGAACTTCGCAACAAGTTGGACATTTTGTGCTGTAAGAAGACAAATAATTTATCAAATTAAAAAAAGTGTGATCAGTGCTGTAATATATTGACGCGAATGTCAAAAAAACGCCGATTAGAACATAGAGACACCCAGTTGTTGCATTCAGGGGGTTTGCATAGGGGGTTCGCGTGGCTTACGGCTTCCTCCACCATCAATTTCATGCATTCAAAACCAATCAGTGTCTCTCTATTCCAATATCCGACATGGACTGGTAACCGGACGAGAGGGCGTGGTTCGTCATGCGATCAAACCGTGTTTTTGACTTTCCTCTCCCTCGGGATAAATATGTAAATCCTATCCTATACGTAAAATGCGATGCTACTATCATTCAGCTTTTCAATTAGTCATAGAAATGGTAGTATCGTGCAAGTAATGACTTACCTATTCGTTCTTAAGAGTTTAAAGATGCAAACTTTGCAAAATGTGTGTTGACATGGAAGCACCTGTGGTTCTTTTGGACCGGTGGTTTCAAATTTCGTTCCGCAAGAATAGCACTTAAATATGTCTTCCATAGCTAATCTCAGGCTATACGTACGTACAGACTATAATTTATAATTAATATTCTAAAAAAAATACATAGTTCAGGTGTCATAAAAACTGCTAATATAAGACGCGGACTTGATCGCAATGGCGCGTTGGAAGCTTACAAGTTTATTACGTAACTTAAAAAGTGTGTCTCACGTTCGTTATCAATGCGTATGCGTTCTTTCTCTCGTTTTTGCAACGTTCCCTCTTTACGTCATACGTCAGTTACTTCAATACGTAGTTATCTCGTTTTCTAATTGCTTATTTTTTTGACTACAAGGGTGTTGAAATAGGAGCTATGCAAATAAAGGGCTGACTCCAGATTGCACGCATTTTTTAAAGCTGGTCACCCCAGTATAAACCAGGGCTATAATATGGGGTTGGATTTGGCATGTTGTTACTGGAGTCTAATTGCACCGGAGTCTGATTTCGCCGAAGTCAGTAGTTGAAGTCGAGAATCATACTCTTAATTAACGACAGCAAAAAATCAAAATTTTCCACAGAAACTCAAAAAAACATTGGGTTCACATTCCTTATCATTATCAGTCTATACAGTGGTTCTCAAACTTTCCAAGCCCTTTCCAGAATTTGTCAGGTCACGACCCTCATCTCACAAATAACTAGCAATAAGCTACAAAAACAGAGGGTAAGGCGAAAGTATGTTTTATTCAAAAACATTTTGATAATATGTAGATTGAACGTAAATAATAAAACAAATGAAATGTAAATATCCAAAATAAGGCGGGAAAGATTATATCTAACAAATATTTTTATTTTTAATTAGTTCAAAGTCCCCTCAAAAGATGCCTATGTTTCTTTGGAATTTAGGCTTTGCTGTACGATGAAATCATATACCTTCAAAGACGGTTCGCATTTTTAAAAAAATTTAAGACTTTATGGACACCCTATGTATCTATCCTAGTTCCCAAACCGCTCCAAACGATGAAATGCGACCATATACCCATCTCTATTACTAACCAGCTGTGTAGTAGCCCAATAGTACCCAACTAAAGAGTTCAGTCAAAAGGCGATTGAGACCATAAATATGTATAATATCCCTCGACAGAAGTACCCGTCCGAATGGTGATTGGCGACCATTCCAATTCCTAATTTGCTGTCTTTAAAATAGTAACCCATTAGCACTAATTGGGTAAGGCCATTCAAATGGAAGATGCGACCATATGTCCATCCACATAATCTGGTATTAATGTGACAACCCAGTCTTTTCTAATGCAGAAACACTAGTCGCGATATGTTAATGTTTGACTAGTGTACGAATTGGAGATAAGATTTCAAGTCGTACTTGCTTATGATGCAAACAGACGGCGTGATAGAACAAATACACAGAGTAATGAGGGATAGGATATACATATTATTTTTTTTTATCTCGGGTGATAGTAAAGCCGATAAGACGGCTTAATCACATGACAAACCCTCCCCTTAAAAAAAGACCTAGTGAATAGCGCGAAATATTTTGACCAAGTCGATAGCAAGAAATACTCCTACACGTTTTCAACTAAATAATTACCTGGTCTGATAATATGCTGCAAAAATCATTATTTAATTACCATAAAATAAGTAGCACAGCAATATGAAACAAAAATAAAACTGAATATATTTTTTTCATATATATATAACATAAAGTAAACGCCAGTAATAGGTCGTAATTATCTTACAACGCCAAAGACCTTACACAGAAAAACAAGCAACGTCCTGTATGAAATCCAAAACAGGAATGAATTTATTACCCACGATAACACGCGCAATTGCGCGCGAGAAAAAATACGAGGAAAACGAAATCAGCGAGGCATATCGTAATCAGTCGACGCTTCAGATGCGTCGGCAGTACAAACACTTATTATCACACAAAGGACAAACACTCGTTATTATATAACTGGCGCATCCCTACTTCGCTCCCATAATGGGTATTACTAAAACTTAGTAGAATGACGAGAAAGTATAGGTTACTTAAAAACCGAATGCCATAGTAAACGGAATTGTAATCAAAACAAATGCAAAACCGGGCTTATTCTAAAATGTAATCACTCAAATATGAAGGCTTACGATGCTCACGACGGGGGTAGCAAGATTGTGGTGCTGGGCCATCTTGCAAAAATAATTCTGGTGGTCCAGTAGGGGGGACATTCGGAGTAGGTAATTGGGGGAGTAAATCTACAAATGAGCTTGGTAGTAGCGGAGGATAGAAATCCTCAGAGTTCTCGTCATTGATTGTAGTATCTGGTATAACTTGGGAAGGGGAAGGTAATGTGGGTGAAACTAAAAAACAATCATACTTTCGAACTTTGGACGAATTGGCTCGAAGCTGATTACCAATGAATTTTTTTATATTACACCAGTCACCATTGACAGACACAACCAAGTACCTGTCCCGGGCTTTAGTTTTTTTGCGGTCAGCATATAAATATACAAGATCACCTACACGAATCATGGGAAATATAGGAATAGGGTTACGGCATTTTGACTTTTGGCTGGGCTTATGGTTCTGGAGTCGACTAGCATATTGTTCTTCAATCATGTGTCTGTCTTCCATAGGAATTTGTTGATTAGTGAATTGGTCTCTTTGGGTCCACATTTCCCGTGATGATAATCCCCTTTAGCGTAGTCGTGAATTAAGATTAGCAAGGGCCACTGATAATGTGACATGAGAAACAGGCTGATTGTCCGGTGCAAGTCTTAGTAATTCTTCCTGCACTTCTTGTACGGCTTTTTCAGCAATGGGATTTTTATTGATGTTCTTCGAATGGCCAAGCTCGAGTGTAAGTCGATGCTTGGCTAGTCTGTTATTTTTTGCCATTGAAGCAAAGGCAGGAGCAGAGTCTGTACGTATTAATGCTGGTGGGCCATCAAGAGGGGTCATATCCAAAGTTAAACACACAAGACCATTACGTAAAGTCTCTTCTCTTTCATTTTCAATTAAGCAGGCTCGTGTGAAAGAGGTAACACATTCTCGTATGACTAATATCAATTGTTTCCTTTGTTTAATAACGTCTGCAGCAAACATTGATCCGACGGATGGCGAGTTATCACTGGTAGTTTGTGGTATGGGGCGGGAAACAAACTTTTTTAGGGAGGCACATTGATGGCAGGCATTAGAAACATGTTTAATCATAGCATCAGAATCAAGAGCAAAAAAATAACGATTAAATACAGATGCCAATTGGTGAGCGGAGGGGTGCTCTAATCGAATATGTAAAGCAGTTAAAATAGCATCAACGAAATGACGTGGAATAACAATACGATCTTGGCGAGAGGAAAAAGGGCGAGATGTATGATAAACAAGTAATCCATCACTAGCAATAGTGGCATGCATGAGGTAACGTTTCATGTCAATGATCTTAGTCAACTTTTTTGATGGTCTGGTGCCTTGTTGTAGGTGAGCGTGGACTCGCCGAAGATCTGCACATTCTTTTTGAATCGTAAGCCAGGCAGATCTATAAGTAAACGGCATTTTAGTGTGGCCTGATAAAATGTCGCGAACAGAAACCTCGCGCATGACAGGTTGTTGCTTGATATCATCAATAAAAGCACAAATTTGACAGTTATTAGTACAACACTCCGGTGCATTACGACTAGCAAAATCTGAGGGGAGATTTTTAGATCCCGCTAAGTGCTCCAGGGTGACTTGATATTGACCTGTGACTGATAAAAATGTTGAGAGTCTTGGGCTAGCTGAAAACTCTCCTCGGCATAGCTTTTGAAAGGCCTGAACGCAAGGCTTACTGTCTGTTAGAACCCGTGTAGTATTTGCAGATTGGGTGATATAGGGAGCAAAGTGCTTGATAGCAGATGCAATACTGAGGCCCTCGATTTCGCATGGAATCCAGGAAGTGAAGCGAGACTTAAGTTTAGCGCTAAAAAAACCAGCAAGGTGTGTCTCGCCCTCACGTGTAATATACAGCGTGGCTCCTAAACCCGGATGTGAAACTGAACCATCAGTAACTAGCCACAATAAATCACTGGGTCTTGGTAACGTTATAGACTTGTTGCTAGATAAATGAGATTGGGCAGAGTGAAAACTTTGAAGTAGCTCATCATTCCACAAAATAGTGGAATTCCTTTCTTGGGAAGCACGGTTATCAGTGACTTTTTGTAGGTCACACAAAAAATTTGCACATTTGGGTATGACTCTAGAAAGAACACGGTAAGCTAAAAAGGACCGCATAGCTGCTACAGTTTTAGGTGGGTCGCATGTGGATAATGTGGCAATACGATGTGGGGATGCTTTAATTATGCCTTCTGACCATATCCAACCAAGGATGGTGGTTGACTTGGGGGCTATAATAGTTTTGGAAGCAGATAAACATAAACCCCATTTTGATAAGGCAGAAAGCACACTACTCCAGTTACGGAGTAATTCCTCAGGAGTATTTCCCCCACAGTATAAATCGTCTGCTATTTTAGTTACGATACCAGCCTGTAATAGGTCACCTAAAACCCGGCACATAAGCTCTTCCAATGCAGTTTCAGATCCAGGCATTCCCATAGCGGATCTGGTATATACCCGGGTACCACGAAATGGTGTTACCACACCACAATATTTCATAGACTTTTTTTCAAGTGGGATTTGATAGAAGGCACTTGTGAGATCCGACACGACTATGTATTTCCAACATGCAATTTTGCGCAGAGTAGAGTCAACATCAGGTAAAAGGGAAGGTTGTGGTTTTGAGTATCTCCCAACGTCTGCGAATGCAGTGACTAGACGATAACCCCCCGAGGCTTTCTTGACTAAGAAGGAGGGGTTTAAATATTCCACAGTGACCCCAACGCATTCTGGTTTTTGGAAAACACCCAATGCCTCAAGTTCATCAAACTTTTGCTGTAACTCAACCAATTTATCACGCGAATATTGAGGTATTCTACCTTTCCGTTGAGGGGGCTGGGTAGGTCCCATATTAACCACAGCTTTGAAGGGACCAACAGCTCCATTGTATCCGGGAGGGCTCGGGTTAAACACGCTATCAAACCTTTGGTGTAAGTGTTGAAATTTTGCG